AAGTTGCTGGAAAAGCTCAGCAGGTCTGGCAGGATCTGTGAAGGAAAAAACAGAGTTAATGTTTCGGGTCCGGTGATCTTTCCTCAGAACTCAAAAAAAGCTCTAGCTGAATATCTTATGGGGCAGGGTTTGAAAGGTCAACTATGCAGATGTCCGACAGATTCCAACAATCAATTCCTCCAACACTCCCCTCCCCCCAAACAAAAAAATCATCCATTACTGGAAGATTTATGTACATAATGCATCATCTGCCCCAGATTTAATTTCTATTTAAAATAAGTCATACTACAAGTTACTAGTGCAGGACAAACAAGATACAGTGCTGATAGTCTGTATCTTTGAGGAGTGTGCAACCTATGTGCCACAATCATGAGAAATTTACTCTGGACAAGCACTACTCCACGACAAGGACTTTACTTTTTGCTACCCTTTTTTCCACATTACTATTTTTGAAAATGCACTTTTGGTACAAAATATGTATGTAATAAAGCTTCCAAGATAAAAAGGACAAAACAAAAACTCTTTTAATACACAATTATTTTTACACAACTGTTGTAAAAATAAGTTGATAAGCGGAAAGTTGGTGAATGCTTAGACACAACATACTGATTTTCTGTCAAGTTATTCGAAAACATGTGCTACACTACAAATATTCAGATAAGAGGCAATGTTTGAAGTAAGTACCACAATGAGTTGTTACATATTGAAGATAACATCAAGATAACACAAAGATCCTATTAGGATGACCTCCTGGCCTGATCATGTTCAGAAAATACCTGTACATGCTACAAATTCCTTCCTTGGCACCAGCTTCAAAAACAAAAAAGGCGTGCCATTCCTCAGAATCACAAACTGCCCATAGTCCGGGATATGCTAACGATCGCCATTCAGGGTCTACAATTACACTAGCATGTTTTACAAAAGAAACACAGGAAGCATGATATTCACCTCTTGCAGCCAGCTTTTAACTGGAGGCAAATCTTTCCGAACAATGAATCGACTACACATTGGCCCAAATCACCAAGATGATGATGAGATAACTGGGAACTAAGGGTTTATACAATCAACACACCAGTACATTCAGAATTAAAATTGACAAGTCTGAAATTGAATTAATCAATTTTGAAGGGAACACAGATTATTCTAAGGGTAACTGCTATCAAAGGTAACATTCATTTGCCCAAGTTAGAAGGGTCATCCTCCTGCTTTCAGATGACATTAAGTCAGGTGGCACAGTAACTTTGAAAATTGTTAGAAATTGTTTAAGTTTCAGGCCCTAAAGTAACTTTATAGAGTCATATTTTTATAATGAGCTTTGGGGCAGAATAACAAAAACAACAGTTAACACTAAACCAAAGGAAGAGACATCAGGACAGGTGAGCAAAGGGCCAGTTAAAGGAGTAGGCTTTTAAGGAAGGCCTTAAAAAAGAGGAAAGAGAGAAGATGATATGGAGAGATCTAGAAGTGGAATAAGCCCAGAGCTATGGGCCCATGCCAGGGCTTGCCAAATCATTGGCTGCAACTGCCAGTGGGATCACCTACTGTAATTTTGGGATCACAAGTCCCGAAACAGAAATGACTACAGCGAACCTCGTTTCTGCCAATAGCTGTATGGCCTCCAAATCCTCAGTGTTTTTTTAAAAATACTATGTGTGGTCCAGCTGGCTGATCCTCAAGACCTGACTGCCACCTTGCTAAATCCAGTGCAAAAAGTGGGTGAGTTATACTTTAAAAATTACTTTTCCCCCATCCCTGCTGCCAGCACTCTTTCACTTTCGTCCCCCACACAGGTTTTCATCTGCCCCCACGCCACCCCACTAACTCCCCAGCCCACTTTTACAGGTCACTCATACCGAAATGGGGTCACAGAGAGGAAAAGTGTGCGGAGCAGAGGCCTGTGCAGCTGACAGTGCAGCCATCAATGGTGGAGGAAATAAAATTGGAGGTGCTCAAGAGGTCAGAACTGGAGAAATAAAACAAGAATTGGATAGTTGTTGGACTTAAGACTTAAGACATAAAGACTTGCAGAGAGAGGAACAGTGGAAGCCATGGAGCGACAGGATAATAGGAAAATGGCTACTTAAGAATCCACCCATTCGTGGAGCACCAGCCAATTAAACCAAGCTGATGATAGGCAGGTGAATGATGCATGGTTCATGTTCAGATATAAGGAGCAGAATTGCGGATGACATCAAGTTTATAGTGAATAAAAGATGGAAGGCTGACCAGGGGTATATATGCTGGGACAGGAGTAGTCATTCGGTTACTTGAGCCTGTTCAATGAAATTCTTAAGGATCTGTATCCTAACTTCTCCCTCTTGGGCTCCATTATCACTTAATATTCTTGACCAGCAATCAATCTCAGAATTAAAATGATTAACTGAACTGGAATCCACTTTTTTATAGAGAGGAATATTCCATATTTTGACTATTTACGAAAAATGGTTTCTAACTTCTCCCTGAATGAGCTGAATTTGATTTTAAACGTTATACACCCTTGTCCTAGAATTTCAGCCAACGGAATTTTTTTTAAAATCTACATTAGAAATTACTCTTAAGATACTAAAAACCAAATCACTCTTTAACCTTCAACCTTCAGGCAATGCAAGACTAAGTAATCTCTCCTCCAACTAACTGTTGGATCCCTGGTAACATTCTGAAGGTGTTCTCCTTGTTATGCCAATGTAATCTTCCTGGGTGCAGTGACCAAACATAAACCAGTATTCTGTCTCACTATAAAGAGCAGGAGGTTTTGTTATATTCCAGTCATAAAAACTAATATTCCATCAGCCTAAAATTTTTGTGTCTAATGAGTATATTTTAAATGATCTATACACCTGGACCCCCAAATCATTTGGGCTTCCAGTGCTTTTAGCTACTTCAAAAAGTACTTGGAGCAATCCCTCTTTCATCCTAAAATGCGCAACCTTGCACTTAGCTGTGTTGAAATCCATCTATTCCAATATTACGCAATTACAATTCATCAACATTTCTTTTTAATTTTACAGACCCATTTACATGACATACCACTCTACAAAACTTTATTTCACCAATAAATACGGATATTAGCTCTTTATTGTATTATCTAAGCCAATAAATAAAAGTCTTGAGATGAGAGGGGAAAGATTTAAAAGGAATCTAGGGGGCAACTTTTTGTTGCAGTGGGTGGTGCATTTATGGAATGAGCTGCCTGAGGTGGTGGTGCAGGCTGGTAAAACTACAACATTTAAATTTGTAGCTTTATACCACTTTAGCAAGTCAATAATCTGTATTTAATTCTATTAGCTTTACATTTGGGTAATAGTTTCTTAGGTGTAACTTTATCAAACCTTCCATAAGCCCACAGTAAATTACATCCAGGCACAAATCTCCTCTCTGCTATTCATTCTTCAATATGACATACTTTGATTAGTCCTTCAAGGATTTCAATCAAGTTCATTTAATATGATCTGCCTTTGAAAATCCAACTTGGCTCACTCTAATCCACTCAAATTCTTAAATCATGAATTCCCTGTTCTTAATTTTGAAGTGGAAAGGCTTCCTCACAACAGATGTTAGAACAACAATTTTATCATTTCCTGCTTTTTCTCATTTGCCATTTTCCAAAACAAAATAAGGACAATTTCTGAATTAAGGAGTTTTAAACGTTTATGGCTTAAAGCAGCTGGAATGTTCTCAAATACTTCTTTAAAACAGGAGGGTGGGAACCATGAGGTCCTGACTGTTTCTCAATTTGTAGTACCATCATGAGTTTTTAAAATACTGTTTCCTTATTTCCATTAACTTCAGTGACGTCTCGTTTTTGATTCATTATTATTTCCCCTGTAATGTCAAGTATTTTATTCTATTCCTCTAAGATAGAGAATGACAAAAAATAATTATTAAATACCTTTATGTCCTGGCTTTCACTTGTATTTGTACCCATGTCCGCTTTTAAAGGCCTAAATTATCCTTGACTAAAGCTTTCTGTATTCATCTTTTCATGGTGTTGACTAGGAACTATGGGGAGAAAGGAATTTAGGGATCATTTCAAGCTAATTAACATTCACAAAAAAAAAATCAAATGCAGGAATGGCAGTTGCTTTCATCTCAAAGAATTGAAATTCAAAACTGGAGTAGAATTATATAACGAAGATATACGGGACTTGGAAGGACTTAAACTTGGACTTGCATATTCAAAATTATAGGGCCTTAAAGAAATACGTTATGAGACCAGTTGTATGTTGTGAGAGTCACCAGCATTTATTGCTCATCCCTAATTGCCCAAAGGACAGTTAACAGTCACCACTTTGCTGTGGGTCTGGAGTCGGTTGTAGGTCAGACAAGTAAGGACAGCAGTTTCCTTCCCTAAAGGGCATTAGTGAACCAGATGGGTTTTCCTTGACAATCCACAATGGTCATCATTAGATTCTTAATTGCAGATTTTTATTGAATTCAAATTCTACCACTGGCCGTGGCAAGATTCAGACCCAGGTCCCTCGAATATTAATCCAGAGTCCTAGGTAATGGTTTAGACATATTACCATTAAGCCATCGCCTCCCCTAACTGGAATGACACTAACAGATGAGATGAAACATTGTAGTGCTTATCCACTTAGTCACATTGGTTTCGAAGCTTTGGGCCACCTGAACCCTAAAAGTGAAATAGGGTACTATTTAAAAGCAAATTATTTCTTTCTAACCTACTGAATGTGAAACAAAATCTGGAAAAACGTTACTAAAATAAAGATTACACTGCTGGCACAAAATAACTTTCCATGTTCTGATGGAAAACAGACAAAAGGCCACAAAAGCAAATAAATACAGAAGAGACACAAAGAACTTATTTAATTCCATGACTTGTCTACAGAGTCTGGCTCAGCAAGTTTCCCCAATGAGCAGCTGTGCCAAACTGGCCAGGACTAACCCAGCTTCAATGCTAAGCTTGTGCAGAGCTAAACAACCTCATCCAAGGAAGCAGGATATTTTCGAATCAGCCATTCAGGGATGTTATTACATACCTCTGGAGCAGGTGGAACTTGAACGTGGATCTCTTGGCTCAGAAATGGGGACACTACCAGCGTACCACAAAAGCCCTTCATCTGAGGAAGCAACAAGTACATTTACAACTGGTTAAAGTTGCATCAGTTAAATAACAGCAACTCCACCAAACCTTTAGGGGTCTTGTGGCACAGTAACAATGCCCCTATCTCTTAACCAGGAGGCCCAGGTTCAAGTCTTACCTACTCCAGAGGCGAGCAAGAACTGCTCTGGGCAGGTTGATTGGAAAATAGCTATACCATTAGAGCTGATCTGTAGCTCAGCTCTATCAGCCTCTCTGCCTCTCTTTGCTTCATATCCCTTGATGACTCTAACTAACAAAATAATATCAACCAAGCTTCCTTTGAGGATTCTTGTGGTACAGTGGTATTGACCCTATGTTTGAGCCAGTCAGCTTGGGTTTACATCCCGTATGTTAAAGAGGTGTGTCATAACACATTTACAGGCAGATTAAAAATCTCTACATTCAGGAAAAGGTTAACCAAACTCCATCACCTAGAGTTGCATATCAGACAGGGCTCCTGTCCTGATCATTAATAGCTGCTTCAAGCAAACTATTCTCCTGATCAAGACTAATCCTTCAGCAACATTATTTTTCAAAAAATAAAAGCTGATCATAAATTTTATTGATGTTTTAAAGTCTTGTGTCCTTAAATGACACTCAAAGAATAGTCAACTGATCTGAAACACTTTGAGATGTCTGGAGAATATGGAAGGCACTAAATACATGCAGGTATTTCCTTCTCTTCCGCGAGGTAGGCTGGTCAGGAGGCTGATAAAAACAGAGAACTAGACAATGAAGTCAAAGTACAACTGCATTAAAAAACTAATTTTCAGTTATTTCATCCTTTCTAGGGAGCAGACACAGTAAGATCTTTCAAACTGCTATCATCCTAACAAGAACTCCTGGGTTAAGCAGAAATATTACTGACAGAATACCACCACTAAAGGTCAGACTTCCTGTTCTCAGATCAGGACAGGCTCCCTTACACCAAAGAGAAAGGAGTGACAATTTGTATGTAAAAGGATTATTCACAAGAGGAAATACAGGAAATGCATAAATGCTCACCCAAAGTAAGTGATGCAAAACAGTACAGAGGGAGGGAACCATATTGGCTCTTTAATTATTCAGACAGCAGTACGAACAGTAAATGGTCCTTGGTAACAAACATTTACTCTACAACATTCAGTTTGTGGTACTGAAATAATGAATAGACAATGCATTGGACAAATTCCCATGTTTCAAATAAATTGCCAACAGCATGAACTGTCAGAAAGAGACAACAAGAATTCAAACTGCAGCATGATATCAGAGGGATTAGCTGAAAGTATCTTTGCAGACATGTTTCTCTTATAGCAATGTTATCTTGGCTTTGGATTCAGCTTGTATCTTTGAGCCAAAATACTTACAATGCAAACAGATATGCAAACAAAATCAACTGAATTAAAATTTGTACAGAATTTCAAGTTGACCATTACTAACACATCAAGTATCCTGCACAAGACTCATCTCCACTTCCCAGCCAACAATAAAGTGTCTTACATCTACAAAGAGCTACACTGTTGGAGCTGACCATTTTGTTTTGACACCTTCAGTTAGCTACAGGTTAACAAACTGTTCGGAATTATTGATGTCAAACTAGAATCAGAGTCGCAGCCACAACTTTAGTAGCTATGTAAGATGATAAATTAATTGGCAGGTTGCCTCTAACATTTGGAGATCTCCCTCAGGAAGTGGTTCTCACCAAATTACCTGAGCCAATTCAAAAAAAAGCTGACGGTTGCAGCCAGGAGCTAAAAGCCACATTACCACACGCAGTGCTCCGTTAGCCCACAATGTTCATTCATGCCACTTTAATGCTGCTCCCCTCTACTATTTTTGAAACAAAGAGCAAAGTTTGAAAGTGGTAAGAAAGATGTTATAACTAGTTTGTAAAAAGAAAATCTTCAACTGAAGCAATTCTGCAAACCAACTCCATTTCCTTTCCATTGGCTCAACAGGAAGGATCTATTGATAAAGGATAACTGCCTGCGTATTTGCATTTACATTGAATTAACAGACATGACTTTAGAACTATTGCAGGTGCGCAAAAGGTACACCTGTTGTTAAACAGTCACACTTGTGACTTCAAGAAACTATGCCAAAGTAAGAGAAAAGCTGGATACACAGACGGTCTTCACACTCAAGACGAAGCATCAGTTCACTGACAAGAAGAAAAGTTGGAGATGTGACTTAACTGCTGTCAGCAACTGTTTATATTTTCTGCTCTGGTACCAAGCAGAGAAAGTCACCAAACAAATCACCCTCAAGGCAAGTGTTTGTGCCTCCAGCATCATTTGTATCATTTTGTTTACTTCCACAGAGTCAACCACTCTCTCACTGTCAAAGACAAACTTACATTAAGCATTGTCAAAATTAACTGCAATTATTGTTTTGTATTGTCATGTTCAAACTTCCAATGACAGAGATTTATAAAGTGTAAATAAGGAACATTCTATAGTGTCAAGAATTATCGCCTGCTCTATTTGGAATTGTTTCTGCGTCATATAAACTTGCTATGAAAGATTTAAAAGGGATAACCTACTTACAACAGTGACTTTAAGCCAAAGCCCCATGTTGAAATATGACAGAAACATATGGTAGGCACACTTCACATCAATATTTGGTTAGGAGCACACACCTGGAAGCACATCAATATTTGGTTAGGAACACACATGTTCCAGGCCACAGCTAAGATCATCACCAGACTACGAATCTAGTACAACACTTCAAGTTACAACACACCTGTGGGTAGGGTCAAGAGGAGACTTTTTATTTTTTCTAATGTGTTCTCACTCCTCGCTTGGTCATTTTTGTTCATCCATGAGCATAGCTCTCTCTATTACCCACCCTTTTGTACAGTACTTCTTTCTTCTGACCCTATTACTCGACCACCACCTCTGTTTCTGCATGTTAGTCTATCCTTGTCTTTCTGACACCAGAGTCATGGAGATGAACAAACAGGACAGCAGGAGTATCAGAAACAAGCATGTTCTTCTGTTAATACTCTCTTTTCTTTGGACCAATATTTTGTTCAAAAATTAAAAGCTAAAGCCATGGATAACGCCACAAAGTTTTGGGCTGGGGAGATGCAATGTTGCATGCATCATGCTCGTTATGCAATGGCTCAAGGGATTTATACAATAGATGCAAAACTAAAACAGCAACTATTTACCACAATTTTATTTTGATAATATGTAACTTACCTGTCACAAAATTAAACAATTTGAAATAATTTTTGCGCAACTAAAAGACTATTTTAGAACCAGACTGTCACCTGATGATATAGTTTTAACTTGGTTAAATGAATGAATATACATTTGTTTCTAGTAGTGGACAGACAGAGTTTCCAGGATATGATGGGATAGAAGTGGGTGGTTTGAATGGTTGAAGGTGCTCCACATCATTGATAATATTACCTTGAAATAAATTCTGTCAATGAATCAACCACTTCCTGTGTACATCACGTATGAAGAATCTAACATATGTGCACACTTCCTCTCGACTCCTTTGGGTAATATCCCACGTCAATATTGTACACTGCTAATTCTCTTTGCCATAATGTGCTGTAATTAGATCCTCCCATCAGTAGAAGTGTTTCTGTACTATCATTGGAAGGCAAGTGTAATCTTAGCATGACATATCTATAGAAGTAGTTCCATCACAAATTGTTACTTTCCATTATCAACTGGAGTGACATGCAATCTGCCACAATCAGTGCTCTGCATCAAAAAAAAAGAAGCCAAGTCACATGAACAGAACATTTCCAATTGTGCACAAATTCGTTTATGGAATAGCTGCTCTGTGTACTCCAACCACCTGGTATTTTTGTGCCAATTTATCCCAGTAGCACATTAACCATTCCACACTCCACATTCCAATGTCCCAGTCATTTACTCAATTATGCATGGTCTTGCAAAGCTGTTGCCACCGTGTCCCCCAACCAAACCTCCACAGTCACAGTGAGTACCAAGCACCTAAATCTGGGTTATTGGTTGAGGTTACCATGAAAGTCTGCTTAATCTCTCCCCTCACCAAGGCATGATGAGTCTCAGGTTAAACCGCCACCAGTTGTCTCTCTCTAATGAGAGAGCAGCCCTAAGGTCATCAGGACTATGACAGCTTTATTTTTTACTTTATTGTCATCCAAGGACACAGTCAATACTTTCAGGAGAGAAAATGAAATTGTTTTATGCTTTTTCTACAAACTGGGAGTAGCCACCATCAAGTAAATAAGTTGAAAAATAGAAACTTGGAATCTACTCATTTCTGCGAATCACACAGTAACAGTTAAAGTAATTTATATTTACCTTCTGAAGTGGAAACCTTCATTTCTCAGTAACTGTGATTATGAATGGCAAAATATTTTACAACTCATGGCTACAATATGTACTTTATTCAAATACTAGGAAATGATTTGTTATTCAGTTATCTATTCTGTTCCATGGATGTTGCAATCAGCCACTATTATATTCTTCCTTTACCAAAATCTAGCTTTGACAGAATAGTGCAACTAGTATTTTATCTTTATATGTTAACTGTTTTTGTAACAAAACATCAGCCATCACTATCAAAAACAATTTAAATTATGAGTCTATATGGGATCTTCATAAATTGACTATGGTGTTGCCGATATAAGGAGTGATTATATTTCTAATTTACTCAACTGCATACAAGATACTTTGGAAGGTCCTAAAACATGACAAAATACAAGAACTTTAACTCTGTACTTCCTATATAAAACGTTTATTCCAGAGGAAAAGCCTACAATAGCATTGTTCAAGTGTAGATCTCCCTACAAAATGTCTACCATATTTAATAGACCTACAAAAATGTAAGTACCATGAATATTGTCATGACTAAATATTTTCTAAAAATATTTGACACAAATGTAATATACAGAACAAATTGTCAGAGCCATGCACACAACACAGACTTTTATCTTCAGAGTATGCCTACTCATTTCCACCTGCTATAAACTTTCCCGATCTTGTATCATTACTCTCTCAAACTTGCCATTCCATTAATAGTCATAAGCACAAATGCCAAATCAATGGCCACCCTCAAGAGTAATCGATCATTCTTCAAAGTATAACACTTGGATCACTGTCTGGCCAGAACTAGATCTTTCTTCACAGCATAATTAAACTAATCTCCATTATCTGTTATAGTCCAGACTCCTTTTAAATCTGTTGTTTTTAACCAAACCCAGTCTTAATTTTCCTTTTTTTTTTTTAAGTATTGTTGAAAACATTCAAATTTTGTCAAAGCTTTGTATCTTGGTCTTATCAGGACAACTTTCAAGAAATACAAATATAAAGGCAAACAACAGTTATATTGTATGAGAAGTGAGTGTTGATTGGTTGGCCAATGAACTCTGATTGGTGGAGGCATTGCCACGGAGAATTGTCCACTTTGATGAAGGCTGACAGTTAACTGTCAACCTTTGTTTAAAATTTAAACCAGGCTGACTGACTGTGATTAGTCAGTACCTTGACCAGAGAAAATAAACCAGAAACTGGATTCATCTGTTTTGTTGAGAAGAAACAAGGACAACACACGTACATGTTCTTCCTGTCTGCGAAGGACAGCACTTTGTATCTTAATATTTATAGGTTTCACTATGCACACATGCATGCCATTCAGACCGAATGTAGCCACAATAAGACCTCAAGTTCTTCCAAAATTTACTACAAGTTTAGGAATTCCAGGACTTCATCCATGTCTGAGCCTCTATATCATCTATGCAGTATTTCCTCAGGTGAGCACTACTGGTACATTGTGGTATTCTCAATCTCTACCCGTACATGGTATTGGATAAGAGTTGTGAGAGGTAATTCGTAGCCCCAAGACAAAGGTGGACTGGCGACAAACTAGTATTGATTGCACAGGATACACAATAAAGTATGCACAGAAAAGACACAGTTCTCAGATAGCAAAAGGTTTATTGCATAATAGCAATAAGGGCAACTACATTTGGTCAGGTGTAATTACTAGAAACTTAGGGAGCTGGTACAGAATTATCTGCTCCCTCCAAATATTACAGTAGAACTCCTTGTCCCCAACCACAATTTGTGACATCAGTTGAATGAGTGGAGTCAATGCAAAATGAACATTAATGCCTTCAGAACCATTAGCTTATGCAATCATTTACACATCTTTCTTCCATAATAACACATATTCCACATTTATGCCAATGAGCATCATGGATCAATGTCAACATCTCAGTTTCAAAGATTAATGCCAAATTTGCTGACCATCTGGCAAACATCTCACTCCGGATAAATCAGTTTCTTTCAGTTCAATCTTCACATATCCTTTTGGATTTGTGCCAGTATCAACATATTGCTACCCCAAAGCCCCACTATCTCCTTGCCCAAGCTCAGTCTGATCAATGCATAATCCTAGCTTTATATCCAACACAGAGTTGAAATCTGTATCTTGCAACTGGTCCAGCACCACAACCACATACTGCTAGTTAACATTTGCACACCATTTATACAGTACTGCTGCTAAAACCCTAATTCACTTACTCACCATCTTGAGGATAAACATTTTGAACGATATTTTTATCTGCCTTCTATCAACTTTTAAAAAAAAGGAAAAACTCTTACGTGAATCTGCCCAGGTGTCCCAAGTTCTGGTCCCAACAAATACATTTCCAGGATTCTTTGGGTGGTTTGCAAATCACTCCACAGTAACATTCCATTCCAACTTAGTGATTTTAAACTCCACATCAGATCATCCATTTGTCTGTTTCAGGCTATTTAATACTGCTTGCTCTGTACTCTATTGGTTGCAGCAACTACAGTATACTGTCATCCCCACCTATCATTTCCTTTTTGTCCGCTGCTGAATTTCTTTCTTTTTACTGCCAATCTTTCTAAGCTATCTTTCTCACACTTTGCAAGCTGTTGAAAATTCACTTGAACGCTGTAATTCAATTAAGTTTTCCTGGTTATGTTCACTGATAATTGGGCTTGTATTTGACTGATCTCATGGTCAGAAACTCTGGTATTATGGTTTTAACCATCAGCAATTAATAACAAACGTCGCATATTATCCAACTTTTAACGGGATCTCAGACAAGCCCCACCCCTTGGCCTATACCTCCTCAAACCAAACATGTTAACAATTGTGATCTGCCACATGGCAAACGGGAAGAAAATTTAAGCAGTTCGGGGAAAATGCAAAGAACCCTCTCCGCACGCAGCCCTAGATATGGGGCGAATAAAATGACTCGGATAGATGAGTTTGTAAAGTTAAACAACGAAAATTTGGGCACCGGATCTTTACACCAGCCTTTAGTCTAAATCACTAATCCCTTCATGCAAACTGCACTTTCGGAATTACGAAAAGAGCGGGGGAAAAGAAGAAAATATCGTATTCGGTTGATAAGTCAGTGCCGGAACACAGCTCTTGAACACAGGCCCCCATTTGCCCACAGCCTCCTCTGTGTGGGTGTTTGTGGGGGAAGCTCATTGAGCTTTCTGATGGCAATAAGGAGGCATCCCATCCTATTCCACCCCATCCGGTCTAACTGCGGCCTGTACAAATTAAAAATACACTCCTCTCTCCTTTCAGCCTCAGACCTTTCATCTCTCAAACACAGCACCATCAAATAATCCAGCATCTAGAGCTACGCCATTTACACTTTTTTAATGGAAAAGGTGGGGTGAACATGCCTTAATTATGCTCGCCTACCTCCTCGTCAATAAATGCAAACACTCTGCTACCTGAAACAACGAGTTAAACTGCCACACGTTCTTTTAACTCCGTTCGCCCGTTAAACGTTAACCCCTTACAACGGTGCAGTTTAGCGGTATTTAATTGACAGAAATAGAACAAACAAACCCAGCCGCAGCCCCGGTTTAGAAACCGAGAAAGATTAGATTTTAAAGACAGGGATGCACTCACGGGTTTCCTCCCGACGACAGCAGCCATCCTGGTTCGCTATTGCTGAGGCTATGTGTAAAGCCGCTGTTCCTCTGAGTTGCTTCCCCTTCCCCAGAATTGCAACCTCTCTAATCGCTCAATATGGCATCCTGCACAGAGAGAGAGAGAGAGAGAGAAACTGCTCTCATAAACACACACATTCAGGCAGAGCCCGCGGGGGTGCAGCACAATCCACAGACCCAACCTGCAACATCGTATGCAGCTCATGCAACAAGGTATCCCAGCTCAACTACTAAACACATTGTGATTTGTTAAACCCACACAGCACAGAGGCATGAAACGCGTAGGATCCCGCTATTATAACATGAAAAAAAATCGCACCCCTCCTGATTACAGTGACTTACTGTGGTCCGGGAGAAGGAGGCGATAAACAGATATATTACTTCGCAAGGGCTTTCTTGGAAGTTGGCTGCGAGGGGATACTTCTTCAGATTACAACAAAACAAAACGTTTCTAGAGGCAGGACATTCCCCAGAATTGTGCTACTTAGAGTCACTCCATAATTTGGAACTACACGCTTTCATTTGCAATGACGAATGGATGTCTAACTTCATGTAAAATGACCGCAATGTGTTCTTAACCACTTGTAATTATTTAGTCCAACATGTTCGGTGACAAGTAAGCAAAATTGAACTAAACTGAAGATGCTAGACATGCGAAACAAACACACCCAAAACTTCGAAACATTCAATGGGTGTCAAATAAATTAACGCTTCGGATGTAAAACCGACAAACTAGGGAACATAATATACATCCTTAGGAATTATGCATGCCGGAGTTTGCCTTTGCATTCGTTACTGTATACTTTGAGCTGACTGCGGCACATCAAGCTCCATCAGTGCAGTTAGTTGTCCGTAGTCTCCACTCAACGCTTGAAGCAACTAATCGCAGACATCGTGGCATTTTGTTTGCATCATCAGCGATGCAGATCTAATTTTAATTGTAACAACGCATAATTTATGTTCAGATACAGCACTCGGATTAATGATGCCATCCTCATGATCATTTAGACTGTTTACTCTGGTAGGTATCGGACTTGAGCAATATTCCTCCATTCATTGATCTATCGAAAATAACTGCAGTTGGCATCAGGGTAATACAATCTAACCGTATCATGTAAAAAGACGAACAATTGTTTTCTCAAAAAAAATTGCAAAAGGAATTTGTGCTGTAAAGAAATGTTTGGAAATAGTTAATCAACAAATAAAAATCAATTTTAAGAAAATACCTTGGATTGGAAAAGGCAGATTTGGCCAGGATTTCCAGTCTTCAATGTTGCTCCGTAACTCGCTATGGGATCTGGCAGTCAAGTGAGATCATGATCAGACTTAGCTGTATGCCCCCGATGCCAAATATCTCATCAAAGCTCATAGATGAACAACCACATCTTAGATGAAGTACTCATTCCATGGCTAGCAGTTTCCACAACTAACTTTATACCCGCTAGGTTACAGGTCGATGTACCGTGCTTTATTTCTTATTATAGAATCACACGGTAGGAAGCAGACCCTTTAGTCCAACCCGTTCGCGCCGACCAAGTTTCCGAAATTGAACTAGTTCCATTTGCCTGCGTTTGGCCCATAACCTTCTAAACATTTCCTATCTTGTACCTGTCCAGATGTCTTTTAAATGTAATTGTACTCGCCTCTACTACTTCCTCTGGCAGTTCATTCCACATATGCACCTTCCTCTGTGTGGAAAAGCTGCCCCTCACGTCCTTTTAAATCTTTCCCCTCTCACCTTAAACCTATATCCTCTAGTTTTGGAGTCCCCTGCCCTGGGGAAAAGACCTTCGCTATTCACCTTATCTATGCCCCTCCTGGTTTTATAAACCTCTATAAGGTTATCCCTCAACCACACACATTCCAGGGAATAAAGTCCCAGCCTATCCAGCCTCAACCTCAAACGTTTCAGTCTGGGTAACATACTTGCAAATCTTTTTGCACTCTTTCCAGGGCAGCCAGAATTGTACGCAATACTCCAAATGTGCCCTTATCAATGTCTTGCACGCCTAAACATGATGTCCTAACTCCTGTAATCAATGATCTGATCGATGGAGGCAAGCATGCCGAACACCTTTACCACGCTGTCTACCTGTGACGCCACTTTCAAGGAACTATGTATCTGTACCCCTAGGTCTCACTGTTCGACAACACCACCCAAGGCCCTACAATTAACTGTCTAAGTCCTGCCCTGGTTTGTCTTAACAAAATGCATCATCTCACATTTATCTAAATTCAACTGCATCTGCCATTCCTCAGCTCATTGCCCTTGTTGATCAAGATCCTTTTGTACTCTTAGATAGTCTTCTTCACTGTCTACTATATCACCAATTTTGGTGTCATCTGCAAATTTACTAACCATGCCTCCTATATTCTCATTCAAATTGTTTATATAAATGACAAACATCAGTAAACCCAGCATTGATTTTTGCAGCACGCTGCTGGTCACAGTCTGAACAACAACCCTCTGCCACCACACTCTGTCTCCAACCATCAAGGCAATTTTGTATCGCCCTGGATCCCATGTGATCTAACCTTACTAACCAGTCTACTATGCAGCACTTGTTGAAGGCCTTGCTAAAGTCCATGTAGACAATGTCTACTGATCTGCTTTCATCTATCTTCTTGGTCACCTGTTCAAAACACTCAATTGAGTTTGTGAAACACGATTTCTCACACACCAAGCCACACTGACTATCCCTGATCATTCCTTACGTTTCTAAATGAATGCAATTCTGTCTCTCAGAATCCCCTCCCCAAAAACTTACCCACCACTCATGTCAGGGTCCCTGTCTTTTCCGTGCAGCCTTTCTTAATTAGCACAACATTAGCGACCCTCCAGTCTTCCAGCACCTCAGCCATGGCTGTCGATGAAACATATATCTCTGCTAGGGGCCCCACAATTTCTTCCCTAGCTTCTCACAATGTCCTTGAATACACTTGATCAGAACCTGGGGATTTATTTACCTTTATGTGTTTTAAGACCTCAAGCACCTCCTCTTCTGTAATGTGGACTCTTTTGAAGACACCACTATTTATTTCCCCAAGTTTTCTATCTTCCATGTCTTTCTTCAGAGTAAATACTGATGTGAGATATTTCATTAGGTTATTTATCAATGAATCTATTTTCAGTAGAATGCCTAATATTCTGAATTTCAGAAGCCTCCTGTCTCCTAGCCTGTAATAACAATGTGGTATAATCCATGAGCAACTGTGCTGGTGACAAAAAAAAACATTATCATTGTGCCACAGAATTCTTCATCACCACCTAGATGTCATTAAGCTCCTCAGACATTGACATGGTCTCAAGCTGCCTTTTCTCACTAAAGCAAACAACCTATGAAACCACACAGATCAAAACAGAAATATAATTACAGTTAGAACTGACGTAAAACAAAATGATGACTGTACCTCATACTAAAAATATTTTTACACAGAAAATATATTGTTGTCAACCAGCACTTGTGTAGTAATATTACCTGCTTGCTGACACTGTTTCATTTCTACCAGGGAACTCTCAGCTCCTGACCATATTACAGGCTTTGTTCATTGGTCAGTGCGTTGAGTATAGGAGTTGGGACACCATGTTGCAGCTGTACAGGACATTGATGAAGCCACTTTTAAAAATACTTTGGATTTTAGAATATTTTAGATTTTTAACTAGTGGCATGTGTTTAATCTGTATGTGAAAGGTTTAATGAGTAAGTTGTAAGTTTTTTTGTAGCCATAGTCATTTCTTTGTTTATAACAGCTATATGACTGAGATAGGTCTTGTTGCTCATGGGAATGTGTTTATATTGTGAGAGTTTTACAAGCACAGAATAAACAATGTAGTACATTTGGCTTCAGCTAGAAGGTTCTGGAAATTGTATGGGGGAAGGCGACTAGTTTAGTGGACACACCCATAGCTTGGAAAGCTCTTTAATTTCACTTTCAGGTTTGTAGAAGTCTTGGCTGAATGTGGATGTTTAAAGCTATTAATCCTGAAAAAGGGAAAAGATAGTTTAGAATTGTTAAAAGGATGCCACCACAGTGTAAGGAGTTCAGTTGAAAAGTTCCAGAACAGAAGTGTTTGGTTAAAACCCTGAGGAGGTTGTTTGAAAATCTGAGCTCAGTTGTATGAAGACTCAAGGAAGAGGCTATCAGATCCTCAAATAGGGGGATTGAAGCACAGTTAAATTAAATCCTGTAGATGTGATAGAGAAGATAAATCTCGCTGATTTGAATACTGTAAAGGTGTGCTGTTGGGATTAGTGGAATTGTCTTTTACCACATGTTTCAGACTTTTAAACTTGTGTTATATGGAGATAGTTTGATATGTTCTGTTTTGTCTTCATTTATTTTGTATACTGAACATCTGTTTCATTGTTAAAACCAATATGCAACTTTGCATACTTGTGTGTCAAGACCACCATTTTAAAACAAAAAATACAAAAGATGATCTATTGATCAGATTTCAGTCTGAGATCTGACTTGTCCAGTAATAGCATCAGCTGGGATCATAACGTTACCATCTAAAGATGCACTGTAGAAATTCACAAAAGCCCCTGAAATATCACCTTCCAAACCTACAATTGCTACCATCTAGAAGGACAAGAGCAGCAAATGCATGGCTCCAACACCACCTGGAGCTTCTTCTCCAAGACCCTCATCATCTTTACTTAGAAATACATTGCCACTTCTTCAGTATCACTAAGTCAAAATTCTGGAACTCTCTCCCTAGCAACATCATGGGTCTACCCACACCAAAAGGGCTGCAGCATATCAAGAATGCAGCTCACCACCACGTCTGATATGTAATTATGGATGGGCAATAAATGCTACCCCAGCAGGTGACATCCATGTCGCATTAAAATAAAATGATTTGGAATAACTATTTCACCAGTTATGAAATGCAATAATGGAAAATGAATGTGCTCTGCATGTTATAGTAAACAGTAAAGTTTCCATAGGGCTGCCTTATCATCCAAGAGAAAACTAGTGTTAAATTTAACCTGACAGTCACCATGCTTCAGATGAGGGGAGAGGTTGTGAAGGACCATCGTGGCAAACTCAGCCAGTGCAGGAATTGAACCTACATTGTTGGTTTTACTCTGTATCACAAACCAGCCGTCCAGTCTACTAAGCCAACTGGTAGAAGAAAGAAAAAAGAGGGTGCAAGGCAAAGGAGAATGGAAATGAAGCAAGAAAGATTAAAAGCTGCTGTAAAAAAAATGCACAGTGGTTATGATCTGAAATTGTTGAACTCCATTTGGGGAGGTGTAATGTTTCTAATCTAAAGAT